CATGAGGGTCTAACCATGGAACATGCTGGAAAGTTGAACATGATTAGGGGGGGAAGGTGTGTACAGAGAGCCAGTGAACATGGGTCAACATGAGGGTCTAACCAGGGACCAGGCTGGACAGCTGAACATAATGGGGTGGAGGTGTGCACAGACACCCAGTGAACATTGGTCAACAATCATGGTCTAACCACAGACTGTGCTGAACATACACACACAGCCCGACTATTTGTCTTCCACAAATTCCCCAATTCCTTTAGATATATTACCACTAGTAACCTCTTGCATGTCTACTGAAATTCAAAAGTGCAAATTCTCACCCAAGCTACAGAACATGTATATATTTTATCTTTAGAGGTGAGATTGAAAGACATTGAAACATTCATGTTTCAACTGTTCTATGTAAACAGGCTTTACGATAAACTCAGAATTTTGCAGATTGTGAAAGAGATCGTTTGAAAAACCCAGATATTAGGAAACTTCTGACGACAAATCTGAAAACAGGGGAAATCCTGACAAATCTTACCCCTGTGACTTCCAGTGTGCTGTGCGATGCTTTGGGATTCCAACAGGTGCCCTGCCATGACTGAGTGTCAGGATATTCACTAGTACTGCAGGCAGAGAGGTAGACGAGTCGGGATACTCAATCATGTCACACAAGTCAGGGCATCAATGCTGTGAATGTAAGAAATTCAAGATGTGGGCATTTAACCTTTCCAGCGCAGAACTGAATTCCCTTCAATCGTAAACCTGACCCCTGCATTATCGAGGCTCAAGGTACAATCAAACGCCCTCGTATTATTGGTTGCACTGCAGAGTGATGCATAACAGTTTTGGTAAACCATAAAATGACGTGCTGTCCAGAGTTTTTACACACGATATCACAGTTCACGCTGCACCAACTATCTAGATATGCAATCGCTGGCAGCGACATGTAACAAGTGGTTGGGACTTTACAGATTGCCTTGTTATCACAGGGACCTCATATTGTCGGACAACAAAGAAAGAAAAGATTTAAGGAAACCTGCAATTTATCTGGACAATCTTCAGGCAAGCTTGACTTCTCAGTTCTCATTGGTTGATTCATGGCAACAAGCATTGTAATATATACATTGCTCAGTTCATATCAACCCCTGCGTCATGCGCTGCTTTAACTCACCGCATTGTGCTATTTTTACGCTATAAGCAAACGTACATCTGCATGAATGCCAATTCAAAAGTGGCATGTTTGCCGTGCTGACCGTCACATGCAGGTACAATTCTAACAATTTCCTTTCTTAGAGTAAGCCCTGTTTTCATGGTTGTTATTGCAATAAGTTAAACCAGAAATAATTCTCATGCTCCCTAGATAAAATTGCAGAAA